CCTCCTTTCACCCAGCCCTAACTCCCCTTGGAAATACCATCCCCAGGAATAGAAATCAGAAAGAATACAGCTACTGCAGACCCTCTGCCCCCTCAGGACAGTCAAATGTGGGAATTTGAATTTGAAGTCTGAATTGTCCACCACCAACTGATTATATCCCATGCCTGGACAACAGAACAAATAATCCAGAAAAGCAAATTACTCATTTAGCTTTAGATCACGTGCATTTTATAATTTTCATTTTAATATGGATACATATAACATTCCATTTCATTCAGCAAATGTGTTCCTCTAAGGCAGTAAGCTCATTACTAAGAAGAGAGAAACTGGAATAAAACATGGTGCCTATCACCAAGAGACTCAAAATGTAGTGAGGGAGGAAAACACACACAATCGACCAGAAGGCAGGCTGAGGGGGTTCCCTGCTCTTGTGCAGAGAGATTAACCCTACCTGGAATGACCGACCAGTGGTTTCAACAAAGAGATGGCATTTCTCAGAACTGGAGATTCTATAACATCCTGACCCTTCCCCTCTTTTCTATATTCAAGTATATTTCAACTTTCTCTATATTTACATAAAACAGGTAAATTTGACAGCTTCCCTTTCTCTTGCTGCTTAATTTGTATCACTAAGTATAACACCATCTCTGTTGTATAAAAAAATCAATTAGTGTTAGGTATACTTTTCAGTATTAAATATATTACCATAGATATTTCTTTGATTAAAGTTGTATTTATTTGTGGGTTGTTCTATCAAACCCATAAACCACTGGACTATCCCCCAAAAATCCAGTAAATTTGCTTAAAAGTTTTATCCTCTCAACTATTTCTTATACATAGATTCCATTGGTTCAGATTTTTGGTTCAGAAAATAAAGTCACCCTAGAGCAATCACGAAAAAAGCCAGTCTAGGATTCCAAGTCTATAATGGAAAGTACATGATAATCCAAACATAAAAAACTAAAGACTGTCATTATTTTGTCTGTGGGTATGTTTTTATTTTAATTGTTTTTCATCTAAAATTGGTCCAGACACAGGTGGGTACAGAGCTGCTGTCCCTCATGGGGGAAAAGGAAGAGCATGATAACACAGAACTTAAATCTCAAGGTTTAAACTTTTCTATACTTACACTTCACAGGCTTTCGACACACTTGGTTATAGAGTGCAAGTTTTACCGTCAAAAAGACATGCGTTTGAATCTGGGCTCCACCACTTCCCAGCAATCACCTTCAACAATCATTTCATGTCTCTGAGCTTCAGTTTCCTCACAGGTATAATTTTCCTACCTCACAGAGTCAGTGTAAAGATTAGTAACAACCTACCTAGGTTATCTAGTACGTTGCCTGGCACAGAGCAAGCCATCAATAATTATAGTTAAAATAATCAGTATTATTATTATAAACCCTAACTGGAAGCTAGTGAGGCAGGCACAAGTTATTAAGACACTTTGGGGACCCAGAAAGCAAGTAGAAAGTAGAAAGTAAGCTGCTTTTTGCCATGCTTAAGAACAACCAGAATATGTGCTTTCAAGAATTTTGACAATTCTCAGGACAAGTTGAGCACAGTGGTTGAGAATATATGCTCTAGAATCTACTCCAGAAACTCCACTTTATCACCTACTAGCTGTGAGACTGTAAGTTGCTTAAAAGAGATGTCCTTTCCTCAACTAAAACAGAGCTAATAACAGTCCTTCAAAGTACTTCATGAGGATCTTGTGATGGTTAAAATAAATGAGATAACCCATGAAATGCTCTTAGCACATCATCCATCAACAGTAAATATTCCAAATTTTAACTATCAGACTGTCCACGAAACTCCTGGCTCTCCCAAGCAGTTACTAAAAGTAATCTCAATACAGCTTGCAACACTAATACATGTATTTCAGATATATGTACTATTTTGCCATAGCACATAAAGCCCAGTGTGATTAATAAAATACTAATTACATTAAAAGTTCTACTTATAGTTAAAAACAAATAATGATTGTTGAAAAATATTCAAACAACAGGGAAATATATAGAGTAAAAGTGTGCTCATTCATCTACCACTGCCTCACCTCCCAGGTCCCAAAGCCACTTTTCAGGGGAAGCCACTGGAAAGCACTGCAGTGGGCACTCTTCAGAGCCTGTCTCTCAATATATACATGATGTTGGGGGAGAAGTGTTAGACTTTTTACAAAATGGGATCATATCATACATATTATTTTTTATTCAATAATATATCATGGATATCTTTCCATGTCAATGCAAAAATCCTAACTCATTCTTTTTTATTTGCTGTTTACTGCTTCAAATTATGGATAATTATAATTTATTAAGCCATTATACTAGGTATTTACTTTGTTTCTAATTTTTTGCTGTTAAAAATAATCCCACAATGAATACTTCGCTTGAGGAGTATTCAACACATGTGTAGCTACTTCTGTTGAATAGCTTTCTAAAAGTGGATCTGCTAACTCAAAGGTTTTGCACATTTTACATGTTAATAAGTATTGCCAAATTGTCCTCCAAAGAGGATGTACCCATTGTATTCTCTGTCAGTAATCATCTTCTTAAAAAATAGGAACAAAAAAGTATACTATTGTGTGGAAAAACTGAAACTTTTCTACATTGAAAAGTGGCCCTCATCTTCAAAAAAAGATGGGAACCACAGTTCTAAACTCTTACTTTATCCTTCTCAGCACTTTAGTGTCTATGCTACTGACTAAACTCTAATCCTTTGGTTTTTTTAGAGAAAGGGTCTTGCTGGGTTGCCTAGGCTGGAGTGCAATGGTGCGATCATAGCTCGCTGCAGCCTCAAACTCCTGGGCTCAAGAGATCCTGCCGCCTCAGCCTCTAAAATAGCTAGGACTACAGGTGCACACCACCACGCCTGGCTAATGTTCTTTTTTGGAAAGACAAGGTCTCACTATGTTGCCAAGGTTAGTCTTGAACTCCTGGCCTCCAGTCATCTTCCCACCTCAGCCTTCCAAAGGGCTGGGATTACAAGCATGAGCCCAATTGCCTGGCCTAAACTCTCATCTTAATATTACTCAGACCATGATCTCTCTTGCAATGACATGGTTCATGTCAAAACCAGTTTTCCAGTCCCCAAGCCATCCTAGCCCTGCTCCCAAGCCAGCTATGGAGAGAAAGGAAGGACTAAAGACCTGAAGTGTTCCCGTCATCAACCAGCAATCCTGCCAAGCCCCACTAAAACAGAATTATTCTGTGCAATTCTCATGTAAAAGCTCTATTTTGTTGCTGTTTTAAAACAGCAATGGATTAAAATTTCTTTATCAATAATCATTGGCCTACAGGTAGTTTACACATTTCATTTGGTCCCGCAACATTATTACAATGAGGAGCAAGAGCAAATAGAGGTCACGTTGGTAATTAAAGCTATATTGTAGAAATATGCTCACCCAAGATATGATTAAATAAGAAAATATTACTCAGTTAAGTATCATCATTAAACTTGTATTAATTTATAAATATTTAAATGTACCATATGATAATCATAAATAATCTGTTTTTGTCAGTTTCTAAAGTAATGCAACTCATAAACCCTTTAAAAAATTACTGCAGAAAGAAACAGTCAAGAAAGTACACAAGCCAGACTTACATTCAAATGCTGTGGTTGTTGCTTCAGGCAGAACCTGGCCTATCACATCCTAAACAAAGAAAGAATAAAGAAACACAATTAGCCATCTTCTTTATTGCTAACATGTGGCAAATCCTAGAGGAAATATGAGAACCTGGGAAAGATTTTTGAAATGTTGGCATAAACTATAAAAACATTAGCTCATAATCACACTTAGCCCAGCAATGTAAACCCCGATTTTAAATCTCTATTCCAGGGAGAAAAATCTTCAGGAAACCTTTTCTACTCTGTATTAATAACATAATCTTTTACTCACAATTCAACAGCGTATATAGAAATACACTGTTGTGTATTTAGAAATACACTGTAGTGTATTTACAAAAAGTTGGTTTCTTCTATGGGAGGTTGTGGAATATACTACAGTGGAAAGATAAAATGGTTTGAGAATCAGACTGACCTAGGCTGAATCTCAGCTCTGCATTTATTAGATGTATGACTTGGAAAAAAATCACTTAACCTCTCTGAGTCTCAATTTGATTAGCCTCCAAAATGGATCTAGTAATATTTGCAGAGGTAATGTAAAAATTAATGTAATAAACATAAGCTTGGACATTGTAGACATTTTCAACAATGTAGTTCTGATATATAACAAGCAACACTGTGCCTTGCACTCATAATGATGGGAGTTCAACATACAAGTTTCCTTGATGATGACGTAAACCCATAATGCTACATTTAATACAAACGATTCTTATCAACCTTTACTCTTAAGCAACATACTTAATGACGCCAAAATAAAGTTAATCTGGCCTACAAAAAATAAAAAACCTTAAAAGTATATATAATATCAATGTTTAAATAAATCTATAAAGTTGGAAACACTTGAAAATTAGCCTACTGAGAAGCTTAACTGAGGAGGCACAGTACACCTCAGTTCTGGGGAAGTTATCCTCCATTATGTCCAGTCCAGCCCAAATGGCCTGCAGACCTCATTTCTCTCTGGGAGCTCTGCCACAAAGTCCCGCCCAGGCTGCGCAAGAACTGGCACCAGGCAGCCGGCTGACAAAGCTGCTTGCGGTATTTCTCAGCAGGGAGCCCACAGCCCTTCTAAGCAGGGCACTTAGCAGAGTGCTGGCTGCAACTTCCTTCTAAAGGCAATTCTTTAGAAGCTTTTGCAGCAGTGGCAATTTGCATAATAGTCTTGCCTCTACAGTGCCTTCTTTTTTTTCAAAAATAAATCTGTGCATATAAAATTGATCAAAGAGAACTATCTCAGGCAGCCCTTGCTCATTAGAGCCAAAAGAGATTATTTTTTCTCTAACTCTAGTCTCAGTAAATGAAACATCAACTTTTTGAGGAAGTATCTGTAAAGGATTTTAGTGTTAAAAAATTCTTTCTACATTCATAGGGAGCAAGTATTTACTGATAGAAAACCGTTGAGCAAATACGGAATAAAGTACACAGGCAGTCCAGTGTAAAGCCTAAAAACATGAAATCTGGAGCCAAACTGTTAGGGCTGGATGCTGGCTCTGCCTTTCAGAGGAGAGTGAACAAATCTCTCTGTGCCTCAGTTTCCTTATGTGTAAAATGAGATTGTAACTGTACCTACCTTTACGACTAAATGAGTTAATATTTGGAAAGTGCTTAGAAGAGTGTTCAGCACATGGCAAGTACCATATTAGTGCCGCTAAATAAATAACACAAATCGCTGGCCGGGCGCAGTGGCTCATGCCTATAATCCCTGCCCTTTGGGAGGCTGAGGTGGGAGGATCAGTTGAGGCCAGGAGCCTGGCATAATACAGAGAGATTCCATCTCTACCAAAAAATTTAAAAATTAGCTGGGTGTGGCGGCACACGCCTATAGTCCCAGCTACTTAGGAGGCTGAGGCAGGAGGATCACTTGAGCCAGGGAGTTTGAGGCTTCAGTGAGCTATGATCACACCACTGTACTTCAGCCTGGGTGACAGCAAGACTCTGTCTCAAAACAATCAAACAAAAAAAACCACAGCACTGATCACTGAAACATTACAAAGCTTAAACCTCGAAATTCCAGCACCCAGCAATCTATGGAGGATAGTCATTCATTCACTGACTTCATCCTTCCACAGCGTTTACTGAAGACCCTTTCTAGTTAGTATAGGTTAAAAAAGGAAAAAAAAAAAAAAGGAGAGGGGAAAAACTGCTCCATCCCCAACCCTCTAAGTCTAGGTTATCACTAGTTACTTCGAGGGAACTCTGCTCACTCTGACAACCAATCTTGAGATGTGAACTCTCCCTCTACAGTATTAGCAAATTAATTTAGGATCCTTCCTACTTATGAACAGCAGACCCCATCAAACAGCAAATTTCTAACAACCAGCTGAAGACTCCACTGGGCAGCAATGGCGTGGTTTCGCCCATCAACATAAATAAGGTACCACACGTGCTTTACATGTGATATGGGGAAAAGCAGACAGAAAAAAACAAACTTGCTGGAGAGAACCATGTGAACGCAACCATCTTGTTTCTTTAAAGAGAATAAAGTGAGGCTATCATAATGACAAAGCAGTGAGAAGTTTGAAAATTAGTCAATATCTACTAGTAATTTTTAAGAGGGTACCCTTAATGATTTTATGTATATTTTCCAGTAATATTTTAAGTGACTTATTCACAACTGACCGTCTCCTACCTTCGACAACATAATCATTTTACCTAACTTGAAGAAGGTTTCAAAAGAAAAACGAAGTTTACATATCTTAATGGTGATCATTTCTTGGTTCTTTTCTTCTCCTTCCTTTCAATAAATCAGACAAATATCTGACAGACCAAAAACATAATTGAGCATCTATAACATGCCAGGAGCATAAGCTCACAAAGCTATAGGTTACAGGAAAATAAGGACTTGATCTTTGACTTTAGACAAACCTAAAAGATTAGTAATATAAAGCATAGTATGTTTGGCTCTATAGTAAAATAAGAACCAAACAAAAAACATAAATAGCAAATAGTATTTGCTAACTCAGGAGGAGGGAAAAATCAAAGGCTCAGTTTAGACAGACATTTCATAGAGGAAGGGAATCTGAGCTGGGACTTAGAGACCACAGAATACAAAGAGCAGAGCAGAGAAGACTGGACACTCTCCCAACCTCCTGCAGTTTTCCCAGAACTAGGGACTCGTTCTTCAGGGAAGAAGAGAAACACAGAAAGCTACAAAACACATACAACAGATAATCCAAGTGTCTCTTCCCTTCAGGACCAGGTAGGTCTCCTTCACACTGCGACCAGTCCCTGACGATTCGGACAAAAGACAAGGCCCAGAGAGGCTGTCTTTTGTCTGAAGACTTGCCCGGGGTCGCCCAGCTATTTCACATAGCAGCAACTGGAGCCCTCAACTACTGACTTCGGGTCCAAGACACTCACTTACACTTGACTCAGCGATTACAACTTGCTTCTGGCGTCTGTGTCAGGGTCTGCCAAACACTAGCTCTGTGGCTTTGGCAAGGCATTTTCCCCTTTTGGGGTTCATGCCTCCTCATTTGAAATAAGTCAGAATTACATGAAGGGGATGCTTCAAGGTTTTACATGGCTTTAAAGTTTGAAGTTCCAAGCCAGAAGATGGTGATGTATCTGTTGGTTCTTTGTCTTTTCTTGATGAAGAGATGAAGTGGACCTAGAGAAAAGCCCACAGGAGTCCACCAGGATCTGGGCTTGAACACTCACAGAACTTGCTATGAGGGAGACAGCGTAGCGTCCATGGCCACAAGTCTTTCATCAGGACTTCCTGACAAAACATGGTCCACCTGGGCTTACCTGAGCAAAAGTGTGCAGACACATGGCACTCTGAATTCTAGCAGTAGGCCACTTGTGCAATGTTTACTCTTAGGCCAGTCAGCCTTGGGCCAGATACAACTTAGAGATGCTCAAGAAGCAAAAGACCAAGCCCTACCCCTTAAGCTGTAATAACACCAATAATAACAACACTTAGAGAGTGCTCACTACACACTGGATTGTTCTAAATGCGTCACATGTACCAGCTCAAGCAGTCCTCAAAATTCTATGAGGTAGGCATTATTTTTATCCCCTCCCACCCCATTTTTAACAAATGAAGAAACTAAGACACAGAAGATACTTTCCCGAGTGGTAGGACTTGTGATTTAAACCCAGACAGTCTGGCTCCAGAGTTTGTGGTCTTAAACACTGTACTACTCTATTTAAGATAATACCTTCTGTTGCTTCAATGACTGAAGTGAGAGAAAGCTCATCTTTCTCCTCATAGACACAATCTCACCTAATCTTCACAAGTCTTTGAGGCAGGTATAAGTATTCCTGTTTTACAACAAGGAAACTAAGGCTCAGAGGCATAGAGTGACTGCCCTAGTTACGGGGACAGCTTACAATTAAACCCAAATTTCTTGACTCAAAACCTAGTGCTCTGTCCACAGAACCATAACTGCACGTATCCTCTTTTAAGCTCCCTCGTTAAGCAAATATTTCAGGGTCCTATGAAGCAACAGAAACAGGGAAAACATACATACATCTTCTCCACAAGTTTATCATCTAGTGGAGGAGACAAAGAATCATGACCAAACATGTGTGCTTTGCTGGGGTAACTACACGAAACTGTGGGAACACAGAGGTGGGGCACACACTAAGACTAACATGGAGAAAAAGCAAAATTCGGCTTGGAAGGAGAGGTGGGAATTGGCCAACTGAAGAAAAGGGCAGAGTGGAGACAGCCTGGGCATTTGGGAGAAATGAAAGTAATTCTGCATAGCCAGGGCACAGGATGCTCACAGGGGTGTGGTGAGAGATGAAGCTGATGCCAGGCAGGCAAAAGCCAATCAGGATGTGCCCAGAGGACCATGTGAAGGAATGTGGGCCTATCATGAGGCGAAATATATACACATGTGAGTGTGTGCAGAGCTCTGGGTGCAAAGAGAAGGGTGGCAGTTGATGCACGGGATTGAAGGCTGCTAGCTCACTACAGCCTCTACACTCCTGGCCTAAGCACCTGAACATCTGCATGGCTGGGGGGTCAGTAATGGTCACAACTCAAAATGAAGTTATAGAAATCAAGTTTCGATTAAGTCACCCAAGACAATCAAAAAAAAATCACATCGCAATCTTCCTCCTCCCATGAACCTTTGTCACCCAGCCCCCTCTTATCATGCAGGTAAGTTCCACCATTGATCTGCTACTTGCAACAGTGCTTCTTGGAATATCAGTTTCTGCCTTCCATGCCTCTGTTGTTCAGTATAGAAAATGGGCACAATGTACCCTGTCTATCCCAAATGAATACTAGAAAGATGAAATATGGCTGCAGCATGTGGGGGAAAAAATTACTAAGTAAAACTAAGGAAATTTAAGTTCTGGTACCGACTCTCCCACTTGGGAGCTACACAGCTTTGGAAAAGTCTTGTCACCTCACTGCTCCTCAGTAACTATCTGCAAAAAAGATACATGGGCTGAACAGGCCACCTACATTCCATAATTTAACTTATGGCTCTGACATTCCATAGTTTTATTTGAAATATATTCTGAGTATCCTGAAGGTAACATATCATCAATTCTAAGATGCACATTTTCCCTATATTTTAGTATCTCTGAAATTGGGCTATTTTTGTACGACGGAGGGTATATCATAGTTAACAGGCAGTTTTTTTCTTTCTTAGTGGTAAGATGTCTTACACTCAATGAGGCCTTAAATTTGCTCAAACATGGTAAATTAAAGTTGCCCTCGTTTCCCTTTCCTGGCTGGTCACCAAGATCAGAGAACTTAGTAGAAAGACATGGCTGGAATCTGGCCAGGGATATCCCCTGAAACACTGAGGAAAAAAACTCTTCTAGACAGCGTTTTGCATCCCAGGTAGTTGCCTCTGTGTGTATGCCTCAGTTCAGGCTGTGAGCTCCCTGCGGGCAGGCATTCAGTCTCATTCATCCGTTTCCCCAGAGCCCTGCACATCTGTCAGGTTTCGGTCGATGCAATTAATCAATGCTGTGGTTGAAGCAGTAAAACTGCCATCGCCACTAACACATGCCACCAGTGGTCAAGCTGCCGACTCCCCAAGTCCCTGAGCCCCCCCGCTCGGGGATGTGGACACTGAGATCACCACTCACCAGCACATCCCTGAAGAGTAACTGCGGCCCGGAGTGCACTGTCCAGTCCACCGCGCCACTATTTGGAATCTTGATGCGAATCACCAGCACCTGGTTCTCCATGGCATGGAAGGGGCCAAGGGTCAGCCAGAGCATTACAGGTTAAAGGGGCTCACATCTTGGGGTAGAGGGATAAAGGCTGGCCCGGGGTTAGGCAGGGACTTCAAGAGGTGACAAAGGGAGTGAGGGGTGGAGAACAGGGGACTGCAGGATGAGGGTGTGGTGAAGAGAGAAGAAGTGATCAGGCAGGGGCCCGCAGGTACCAAGCCAGACCCAGGGCGTATGGGGTCTGAGGGTGTCTCCTGGCGGGGGGCACTGGGAAGCGGGCAGGGGCCAGCAGGAACTAGCGGAGGTCAGAAGGTTCTGGAGTTGGAAAGGAAATCAAACAGTATGGTGAAGCTCTCTGCCGTCCGTGTAAGTGTGAAGAGATGGCAGAGGAAGGACCCGGTTTGGGGGAGATACAGCGGCAGAAGTCTACCCCTCCTCAGTGGATGAGGAGAAGGTCCCGACTGGAGGAGACTCAGTCCCGGGCTATTAGGAAGGAGCCCCGGGACCTCCAGACCACTAGAACGCCGAGGGGGCCCTCCGCGGGAGGGTCAGGGGGCGAGTCTTCCGCCCCACGCGGAGACAGACGGAGCGGCGCGCGCAGGCTCAGCCCCGGCCGCCTCAGGCCGCGCGTCCCGGCGGTGACGGCGGCGGCAGCGGCAGCAGCGGCGAGAGGAGGAGGAAGGCGGCGGCCAGGGCACTGTTACTCCGGAACCAAAACGCGCGGCGCCGGAACCCCGGGAGCTGACGAACGGAACCCGCCTCCTGCGGCGCCATGTTGGAAGAGGGCAGCTCCCGGCGGGCGGGACCTGAGAAAGAAGCGAGTGGCGCGGGCTGAGGGGGGCCAGGCTGGTCCTGCTGGCTCCCGAGACCCTCAGCGCCACGTGAGCGCCCGCGGCGGCCGGGTCACGGCCCTCTCTTTGCCGGACCCTGGTTAAAGACTGTGAGGTGAAAACATCTAACAAACGAAGGACTAAAGTGACCTGGGGCTGGAATCCGCCAAAAGCCAATTAAGGATTAAAATTGCGTACTGTTTCTCCCTTTACAAAAGCCTCATAAAGACAGGACTTCAGCTCGGGTTTATCCCTAGTTTTTCAAGCCGTGCACCTGAATATTCGTGGGGTTTTGTGCATCATGTCAGCAAGAGAAAGGCAAGAACTCAAAAAAACGGTCTTTTTTTTTATTTCCAAATCACAGGTCCAGAGGATCATCTTTCTCCCACATTAGCAAAACGGATATAAATTTTTCAGTGAGGTTCTTTACCCCACGAGTGCCCTAAAATAGAAAACAGTCCCCTATTCAAAAGCAATAGTAAAGAAATTCAGTAAAGAGGTTAACTACCTGGGGACAGCTGCAGTAGTGGCATCATCATCATTCATTAAACTATTGCAAAAATACCCAGGCTAGTCCATATATTTTCAACTCAATTGCAATGCTTACGCAGTCGGTGATATCACGGCAGTAGCAATAAACCTTGGTTATTTTTAAATGCCTTGTTACCTCAGATTTTTTAATGCATGATCTCCTCGGTCTTTGGTGCTTATACAGAAGTTTGTTTACAAATTGTAACGTATGGGTTCGTCCTTTTTCTGTTTCTAATCAAGGTGCAAACATCCGCTTACTTTTTTGGGTTGAATTTTGTATTCAGTGGAGGAGGGGTGTCAGTTTCCCTTGTAACAGTCAGTTGATTAATGCGAGAGAAAAAAATCATTTAAATGTTGGTCATTTTAAGTATAATATCAAATTTTTTTCTGCATAATTTTCTCTGCCTGAATTTCTTTTATATTTAACTTGAAAGGCCACTGTAGGAGATAAATTATCACCTTTTAGTTATTGTAAAGTAATAGCTTAGGTAGAAATTCATTTAGTCAGATCCTCCAGATATTCTAGGAATTGTCCCTTTCTACCTGCACTTCTTCAGTCCTATGAAAAATAAACCGTTCATCCAAGGTCCCCACATACTTTTTATTCAAAATTCATTTCCTATTATTTGAGGAAATAGACCACAAAACTAGAGATTTTCTGTGAATCTATGATTTGTTAAAATGTCTCTTTTATTCATAGTACCATGGGGAAAACCAACTCAATTTGCCAAATTTGCATACATATTCTGAAGCTTTTCTTACACTAATGGCAAACTCATAACGTTTCCCAATATTTGCAGAGCCAATATAATCACACTTCAGTGCTTCATAGCCTTTATGTAGTAAGAAATCTTAACATTGATGATTTGAGCATGGATTTTCCAGAAAACTCTAACCCTCATTGCAAAAAACATGGTAGTCACAGCTAATACAAGACCATTCCATTTGATATCATAAATAACAAAATATAACTTTTTGACCTCTTTACCAAATAGAGCTTAATTGTCTAAATTTAAGGAACTTTTAATATTCAATGTTAAAGTTGTAATCTTAAGATTTTTGCATATAGTACTTTTTTTTCTTTTTTAGTAATGGATATAAAGTCAGTATAGTTACTCGGGCATTGGCTGAGATAGTTTACTAGCCATAAAGCAGATTTACTATAGTAAAAACCTGTGCTTATTTATATTTTTCCTACTTGAGGGACTTTTCGTAGGTATAATAGAAAATCCCTCCTCTCATGAAGTTGTATTCTGATGGGGGGAGACAGACAGACAAATGAGTGAAATATATGTTAGATAGTAGTAAATGCTAGGAGAAAAATGAACACAATGCAGTTGATCAGGGTAATAACATTAAGGAATATTAAAACTGGCCCGTACTGACTCCTGTTACCTGGTAAACAACTCAAAAGAGATACATTTCTGAAAAGTTAGGTGTCTATAGTCATTTTTTTACATTTTTAAATTTTTAATTGTGATAAAATACACATAACATAAAATTTGCCACCTTAACCATTTTTAAATGTACAGATCATTAGTGTTAAGTATATTTACAATTTGTATAACCAGTCTCCAGATTTTCATCTTGCAAAACTGAAACTACATTCATTAAACAACTGCCCACTCCCTCTTTCCTCCAGCCCCTGCCAACTAACATTCCACTTTCTGTTTCTATGAGTTTGGCTACTCTAGATACCTCATATAAGGGCAATCATACAATATTTGCCTTTTTGTGACTGGCTTATTTCACTTAGCATAATGCTCTCAGGGTTCATTCATGTTATAATGTGTCAGCATTTCCTTCCTTTTTAAAGCTGAATAAAATTCTGTTGTATGTATTTACCACATTGTGTTTATCCAGTCATCCATTGATGGACATTTGGGTTGCTTCCACCTTTTAGCTATTGTGAATAATGCTTCTGTGGGCATGGGTGTACAAATATCTGTTTCGGTCCCTGCTTTCAGTTCTTTTAGATGTATACTCAGAAGTGGAATTGCTGGGTCATATTTTCTGTTTAATTTTGTGAGGAACCACCATGCTGTTTTCCACAGTGGCTGTACCATTTTACATTTCCACCAAAAGTGCATGAGGGTTCCAATTTCTCCACATCTTCACCAACACTTATGTTCTGTATTTTTTTTATAGCAGCCATCCTCTTGGGTGTGAAGCGATATCTCATTGTGGTTTTAATTTGATTTTTTGTCTCCTGATTAGTGATGTTGAACATCTTTTCATATTCTTCTTGGCCATTTGTATATCCTCTTTGGAGAAATATCTACTGAAGTCTTCTGCCCATTTTTTAATCAAGTTATTTTGTTGTTGTTGTTGTAAAGTGATTTTCTTTAATGAGGAAAATCACATTTTGCTATTATAAATTCAAAAAAGGTTTTCTTTCATCTCATTACCTTGCTCTCAATCTCAAATCTTTAACCCAGAATCTGAGCCCTTCCCACCACCTTCACTGCTACTACCCCAGTCCAAACTTCTAATCTTCTAATCTTCTGTTTTTACCCCTTCCCCTACTACAAGTAGTCACAATTGGATCAGGTTTGATTAAAACTCTCCAGTTGGCTTCCTATCCTGTGCAGGGTGAAAGCCAAAGTCCTTTCCTTTGGCCTATAAAATCCTACACATTCTGCCCCCCATCCCTGTGGAACTCCTGAACCTTATTTCCTGCTATTCTTCCTCACTCACACCAGCCTCTCCTCGCTGTTCCTTGAACATGGCAGGCATTCCACCTTGGGGACTTTGCATTTGCCATTTCTTCTGTGTGGATTGCTCCGACCCTAGATATCTACATGGCAGATTCCCTCACATTCTGCGAGTCTTGACTCAAATGTCACCTTCTTACTGAGGTCTTTCCTCTATTGAGATTGCAGACCAGCCCCAAAACCACCCACCCACAGATACAAGCACGATGGTGTGCATGATTCCTAATCCCCTTCTAGTGTATTTTCCTCCTGGCACTTGTCATTATTTAACATACCACATATTTTAGTCATTTGTCTGTCTGTCTCTCCACTAGACTATAACTTCATGAGGGGAGGGAATTGTGTGTTTTTTTCATCTCCATATCCCTAATACCTAAGAGAGTACCTGGCACATCACGGGCACTTTAATAATATTCGTTGAATGAGTGAGTTTTGAAGGCAATGTAGACTGGGCAATAGGAATGCAACTTCCATGTGCTTCTCCTGCCTGCCTTGAGTATCACCTGCTTCTTTGCCTTCCCACCACCACCACTAAGACTGACACAATAACAATCATAGACTCCCATTAAACAGTACATTTTATAACTAACACTGATTGTCTCCTATGTTCAAGAAATCCACTTGTCTCCTTCAGAGCCTAATATGGGCCCTTGCATATGACACTCCAATAGTTGTTGATTAATTTTGATTTAAAAGAACATCAAGAGAATAGAAGATGGAAGAACTTTGCAGCAGAAAAACCTGACGGACGCCATTCTAACCCAGCAATCAAGTTTAACGTCACCAGTGGTAAATCATGTTGACGTGATGCACTCTCCGATGTGCTGCTATAAGAAGGGCACTTGGCCTCTGGGGTCTTCTTCCCCAAAACCCATAACCCCAGTCTAATCATGAGGAAAACATCAGACAAACTCAAATTGAGGGACATTCTACAAAATACCTGAAAAGTATTCCTCAAAACTGTCAAGGCCATAAAAAACAAGGAAAGTCTGAGAAACTGTCACAGACCGGAGGAGACTAAGGAGACATGACGTCTAAATGTAATGTGGGATCCTAGATGGAATCATGGAACAGAAAAGGGCCATCAATAGAAAAACTAGTGAAGTCTGAATAAAGTCTAAAACTTAGTTAAGAATAACGTACCAGTGTTGACTTTAGTTTTGAGGTATGTACAATGGTTATGTAAAATGCTAACATTAGGGGCACATGTAGGTGAGAGTATGCTAGAATTCCCCGTACTATCTTTGCAACTTTTCTGTAAATCTAAAATTATTCCAAAATAAAAAGTGTTTTTTTAAAAAAATAAGTTGCACTTCTACACACCAGCAATAATTTTAATTTGTAAAAAAATATAATTTACGATAGCAATAACAACAACACAATAAACATAAGCATTCTCCTCATGTTGGTTAGTATCTATTAGTTAAAAAAAAATAAGAATATGAAGAGACACGGACAAAAATGGACACAGACAAACTCCCAAAAGCCTGACAGGAAAGTCTGCTCTCCTCTGCTTTGGCAGGAATGAGAAAGAACGGTGGGAACACTCCCAGCACTCGTGGAGGAGCAGAAATGAAAGTTCAACCGGTTATTTATGGAGCGTCA